ATATAATATAAATAATCATTTTGTTTCTCCCTCGACCATCTAATAATCTATAAGTTTCTATATAATGATCTATAACTATTCCTCTCGGTATTCCGAAGAAATTTATCCACGAGAAAGATGTTCCAACCTTGTCAAAAATATATTTACTACCATGTCAAAATACAATCACGTTATCCTTGTTCCTCGTTATCGCGACGACGCGTTATTCTTGAATTCGTTCGCGCGATAAGTATAATACGGAAGGTACGCCTACGGAAATGGCACTTACGTAGCTAGTCAGTGTTTCTTCCGTCAGCGGAATTACATTTCTTCGCGAACGAAAGAAGGCATGAGTCAAGTGGCCGAGCTACTTTGTATAACCATGATTCACGAATTGTCCGATACATGGATTTCTGGAATTATGTGGGTCATTGCTTATGGGCCAAAAAATTCTCGGTATTCCACACCGATATAGAGAAGTCTGGAGCAACGAACACCATAATTGGCAGAGATGGTCATCGAGATCTTGTCTTTTGAAGTGAGTAATGATTAAATTTAATATCGATTGGTCAAATCGTAAGAGATGGCAATAATTCAGCTTCTTTTTCATTTATTTATCTATCATTTTTCCCTTTTCAATGATAAAAGATTAATAACAGGTGGTAAGATTATAGAGAATCATAGAAAATAATCGAATTCTCTTTTTCAAATAATTATGTAAAACTTGGCCTGATTTTACGTATAAGAACGAGTGGTAAATTTATAGAAGATGAAAATAATCGAGTCTCTTCTGGGGGGTGGGGGGCTAATAATATAAAATTTGGTCTTTCACCGTATCTAGGAAGGAATAGTAAAATTATGAGAAACGAGAATAATTTACTACCCTTTCTCAAATAATATACAATTTTATCTAATTTCAAAAATGAGTAATAAAATTGTGAAAGACGAGAATAATTGAAATTCTCTTTTTCGAATAATAATATAACATTCGACTTGATTTCATACTTAAGAATGAATAGTGAAATCATAAAAGATGAGAGTAATTGAATCTTTCCTCCTTTAAGCGAATAATAATATAAATACAGACTATTATTATTATTACTTATTATATATAATAAATAATATAAATATATACTATATTATTATTACTATAAATTATGTGAATAATTGCATAAATTAATATAAACAATATTATTATAATATTCTTTGATTTTACATATAAGAATGATTACTATAAAATTATAAAAAATAAGAATGATCGAGTCTTCCTAAAGTAAATAATAATAAAGTA